GGCCAGGGAGGAGCCCAAGCCAGGCCGGGCGCCCCACCGTTCCCGCTCATCCTGGCCGCACTGCGCCCTGCTGCAACCGCTCGGTAGTGCTGCTGCAACCCGTGAGCCAGCTTTGAGCCCGGCTTCTGGCTGAGCAGTGCTCCCACTGTGGGAGCACACTGACCACCAGGGGGCAGCTCCTGCATTGAGTTTCCGTCCCCTGGTGGTCAGTGTGCATCATAGTGACCAGTCGTTCCAGTTGACCAATGGTAACAGTTGCTTAGGCTTTTATATTTAGACTAGAGGCCCGGTGCACGAAATTCATGCACAGGGTGGGGGGAGTGTGTCCCTCAGCCCAGCTTGCACCCTCTCCAATCTGGGATCCCTCTCACAATCCAGGACTGCTGGCTCCCAACCGCTTGCCTGCCTGCCTGCCTGCCTGATCGCCCTAACCGCTTCTGCCTGCCAGCCTGATCACCCCCTAACCACTCCCCTGCCAGCCTGATTGATGCCTAACTGCTCCCCTGCCGGCCCGATTGCCCCCAACTGCCCTCCCCTGCTGGCCCAGTCACCCCTAACTGCCCTCCCTTGCCAGCCAGGTCGCCCCCAACTGCCCTCCCCTGCTGGCCCAGTCACCTCTAACTTCCCTCCCTTGCCAGCCTGGTTGCCCCCAACTGCCCTCCCTTGCTGGCCTGGTCACCCCTCACTGCCCTCCCTTGCCAGCCTGGTCGCCCCTAACTGCCCTCCCCTGCCAACCTGGTCACCCCTAACTGCCCTCCCCTGCTGGCCTGGTCGCCCCTAACTGTCCTCCCCTGCAGGCCTGGTTCCCCCCAACTGCTCTCCCCTGCAGGCCTGATAGCTTCCAACTGCCCTCCCCTGCAGGCCTGGTCATCCCCAACTGCCCTCCCCTGCAGGCCATCTTGTGGCAGCCATCTTGTGTCCACATGGGGGTGGCTATCTTGTGTGTTGGAGTGATGGTCAATTTGCATATTACTCTTTTATTAGATAGGATATTATGAGCCAATTGCTATTTTTATTAATTTCCATTATTATCCTACTCCCCAGCCATCCCACAAAAATTAGGTGGGCATTTAACTCAGGGTTAAACAAACAAGTAAGCAAACACTTGCTTTACAAAATACTTTTGAGTGAACGCCTCAATAACCTGGGTGTAGAGGAGGGCTTTCTAACTATAACTCAAACTCCAGATGCAATAAAAGAAAAGATTATATATCTTTTTTCAAATTTATTGGTTGATTTTAGAGAGGTAGGGAGAGGGAGAAACGTCGATTTGTTGATCCACTTATTTATTGGTTGATTCTTGTATGTGTCCTGACTGGAGACTGAACCTGCAACCTTGGCATATTGGGATAAAGCTCTAACCAACTGAACTAACCTAGTCAGGGCAGATATATCTTGTTTGTTTGTTTTTTTTAAATCCTGACCTGAAGACATGCCCAGAGAGAGGAAGAAAGGAAGGGAAGCAGAGGGAGGTGGGAGGGAGAGAGAAACATGGACATGAGAGAGAAACATCAATAGGCCTCTCCAACTGAGGATCAAACCCGCAACCCAAGCATGTGCCCTGACTGGGAATTGATCTGGCAAACCTCTTGGTGCACAGGACAATGACACTCAATCAACTGAGCCACTCTGGCTGGGCAAATTATGTATCTAATTATACAACTAAATAAAAAACAATTTTTTGTATGGCTAAAAACACCATAAGCAAGAGACAAGTGTTAAATTAGGGGAGTATATCTGTAATAGATAACAGAGCTAATATAAAAGGAACTTTTAAAAATTGAGGGAAAATAATTACAAAAATTCTATAGAACAGGCAAAAGCCATGAACAGATAATTCATCAGAGAAAGATATAAAAATGGCCCTAAACATAGAAAAATTACAGTGGGGCCTTGACTTAACGAGTTTAATTCGTTCCGTGACGGAGCTCATAACTCAAATTACTCTTATGTCAAATCAAAAAGTGAACGAGTGAGACACGTGATGCTGGGCTGATGTTGTGGCGTTCACTGTGGCGTTCACTGTGATGTTCGCCACGCCAACTAGCGGTGGGGTATCTGAAGCTGGCTCGTAACCCGAATTTTAGCTTGCAACTCAAAGCAAAAAATCGGCCGAGAGACGGCTCGTATCTCAAAAAACTCGTTAGTCGGGACACTCGTAAGTCAAGGCCCCACTGTATGTTCAATTTCACTCCTAAGGGAGATGCAAATTAAAACTACACTGAGTTATCATTTCTCACTCCTCAAACCAGCATAAAAGTAAGAGTTGACAAACTTGAACAAGCTGTGGGGACACAGGTGCCTTTGTGTATTTCTAGTGGAAATGAGCAATAACAAACTACAACCACTTAGCCTTTGAGCCAAAAATTCCCCCTCTAGAAATATTTTCAGAATATACATGCCCCAAACTACAAAAACATAATGTGTACAAGGTTATTATTGTAGCTTTATGTGTCAACACAATACTGGAGTCTACCTAAATGACTAAGATTCACTGAATAAACCGTGGTATGTATACACTGAAAAAAAGAATGCAACTGGGAAAAAGAATGAAGACTATCTCTAGGAAATGGTATAGGATTGTTTAGGATATAATAAGCAAAAAAAAAAAAAGGCAAAGTGCAAGAGTACTTATAGTATACTACCTTTTGTGTAAGAGAAAACAAGAACCACAGAAAGGGTGAACCTGAAACTGATGAAACTGTTTACTATAGAAGGGAGGAGAGGACTAGGGTGGAAAACAGGGGGTGGGAGAGTACTACTTATACATATACTTTTTAATGTAGTTTTGACTATATTGTTAAGGTTCTACTTATTCAAAAAACAAAATTAAAGATGAGCCAGGAATATCCTGTGCCCCCAAATAGAATGTGCTAAAAAGATGGAGGCACATCAAAGGACACAGGAGCCTGCTTGAAGGTGCTCTCATTGGTCAAATCAGGAACAATTTGAGCAGCAAAGTAAAGACAGTAATAAATTATAATCCACTGGAGAAGAAAATTGTGAATCCACACTGACAATGAACAAACAAAGAGGGAGAAGGAAAAGCACTTCCTTTTGCTAGAATGCTAACTAATAAATACAGAAGGAATGATGGAATTAGAAAATCACCTTCTTGCAATAATCACAAAAATGGAGCCCTAGCCATTTGGCTCAGTGGATAGAGTGTTAGCCTGTGGACTGAAGGGTCCAGAGTTTGATTCAAGTCAGGGCACATGCCCCAGTTGCAGGCTTGAACCTCAGTGTGGGGTGTGCAGGAGGCAGCCGATCAATGATTCTCTCTCATTGATGTTTCTATCTCTCCTTCTCTCTGAAAATCAATAAACATATATTTAAAAATAAAAATGGATTTAGGCAAGAATCATCAATACATGCTAAAAAGGGTAGAGGGCAGAGTTTGGTGAGGAACAGGAGATTTACAAAATCTCAATGTACTTTCCCACAAATTACTTATAAATTAGGAAAGAAAAAAACAGGACATCTATACAGTGGAGCAAAGAGAAAACGTCATTAAGAGCTCGACACTAACATCACCAATACGGAACAGACATCGTCTCTGGATGTGATGCCCTGAGAAGGACACATCACATACATATGCAGCATTTTTGCCCAAAATCTGTAACCTGAATCCAATCATGAGAAATCATTCAAACCCAAATTGAGAAAAAATTCTCTAAAATAATTGGCCTGTACTCTGCAAAGATGTCACTATCATGAAAAACTGAGGACTGGTAGCAGATAAAAAGTGTCTAGGAATTGTGTCAACTAAATACAATGTGTGATCCTACATTTACTCCTTTACTGGAGAAAAGAAAAACTGTATAAAGGACATTATTAGGATAGTGGATGAAACTGAAATCTGGTAGATTTAAGTATTTATCAGTAATGCCCTGGATGGTGTGGCTCAGTGCAACGAAGGTCTCGGGTTCGATTCCTGATCAAGGGCATGTGCCTGGGTTGCAAGTTCAATCCTGTGGGGGTGCATGCAGGAGGCAACCAATTGATCTGCCTCTCTCACATCAATGTTTTTCTCTTTTGCTCCTCCACTCCCCCACTTCCCTCCCTTCCACTCTCTAAAACTAGAAAACAAAATCCTTGGGTGAGGATTAATCTATAATAATAAAAGCGTAATATGCTAATTAGACCAGACATCCCTTCTGGATGAAGCCGGGGCTGTGAGGGAAGCCCAGGTCCCAGGTGGGGTGCCTGCTGGCGGATCGGAGAGAAACCTGGGTCCTGGGTGCCGGAGGGAAGCCGGTGCCAGCAGCCCGGGGGGGAGGAAGGCCTACTCTTGCATGAATTTTGTGCATTAGGCCTCTAGTAAATAAGTAAACATATAAAAATTATTTATTAGTAATCAATCTCCTGTATCTGATAATTACAAGGTGGCTGTATAAGGGAATATTTCTGTTTTTAGAAACTACAAAGTGAATATTAAGAAGTATAGAGGATTTAACATTCATCCTCTCAAATAGCTCAAGAAAAAAGAGAGAGGGGATAATAAAGCAAGCATGTACAGTAGAACATCAGTAAAATGGATAGAGTATGCACGAGTTCTCTTTATTATCCTAGCAACTTTTCAGGTTTATATTATTTCAAAATACAGTTTAAAATGACTTCTGAGACGCAATGATACAATGTGGTAAACATCAAATACCACCCTATCAAAAAATTATTTTGCCTTATTTATTTAAAAAACATGAGTGAGCCCTAACCGGTTTGGCTCAGTGGATAGAGCGTCGGCCTGCGGACTGAAGGGTCCCAGGTTCGGTTCCGGTCAGGGGCATGTACCTTGGTTGCGGGCACATCCCCGGTGGGAGGTGTGCAAGAGGCAGCTGATTGATGTTTCTCTCTCATAAATGTTTCTGACTCTCTATCCCTCTCCCTTCCTCTCTGTAAAAAATCAATAAAATATATTAAAAAAACAAACATGAGTGAGATAATAGGCAACTTGGTCATTCCAACTATGTATATTCCATCTATTTCTATTTCTGATAAATAACTTTGAAACCACCATTTCTAACATACCTGGTATCAATGTCAGCTGCCTGGATTGTGTTGAAAAGCAATTCAGCAACACCCACTCCTTCAACATTGATCAAGTGAGGCTGAAATAAAGCTTCTGGTGCTTCAAATCTCTCTCCACCAACTTTGATAATGCGGCCATCTGGGAGCTAGAAACCAAGATCAACCAAGTGTTAGCAAAAGATTAAAAAATATTCCAGTGTTCTCCAGAACACAGTACTTTTAAACACACGTTTTATAGCCAAAATCATTATCAGCAACATATTTCTCCCAAAGTACATTTTTGAAAAGAGAAAAAAAAGTAAAACAAAATATTGTTAGATAATTGTTTCTATTACTATACTCTATTCTGCTTTTAAAAATGATATGCCTTGCCCCAAGGATCAGGAATTTCGTGGAGAAATCACCAATGCGTGAGTGCAGGATGTTCCATTGGTGTTCAGCTAAGCATAAACAGGCAGCATTATCAACCACTGCTCTTGAATTATACCTGGTATCAATGTGCTTCTCTTATTAACACATTTGTAATTTTATAAATATTTTTACCATGTAGCATAAACAGATTCAATTAAAAATTTTAAATAATTTTTCACCAAATAATTACTCTGTGAAACTTATTTTGTTATCAAAACACTTTATATCATGTGTGGAACGTCTGTCAAATTATTTAATCCAAAAATTACTTTATGATCAAAAAAGTTTAAGGAATACTGATCTAGACTATTTTTTATTAGGCAGTTCTTTTGTATCCTACTTATTAGGTCCTATTAAATTTTAAATGATAATGATGAAATATTAATTTAAGCAAAGAAGAGTTAAGTCACATCTTGTTTATATTTAATTAAATGAGAAATGTTAAAGAAAAACTCCCTCTCTTACATCACCTCATAATTCATTGGATGGACCTAAGTAATAAGCGTGCTTGTGTATACTGGCATTTAATGAATTCTTTATGAGATAACAGAATTAGTTTTACATTGACATTTCTCACAGTGTATTTAATTTATAATAATTACAATAATTATATTCAGATTCCAAAATTGACTTTCCAATACAACAAATTCACACAGAGCAAGTCCTTTTAAACATTTACTCCATGTTTGCTGTAACTGTTTACAGATACATGCAAAACAATCAGTTTTCAAAAACTCCAGAATTATCTTTTTATAAATTGTATCAAATGTCTTAAAAAGAAAAAAGATACTGATCCAAATATTTACCCTTAGAAAAATAAACAAAACCACCAGGTGAATTTAAAAACCATATGGTATCACCCAAGATACCTAGAAAAACATCACATAGCAGAGACTGTTTTTAGCAAAATCTCTGTACCTTACATTTCTAGCCTCTTTGATGGTGTGACTTCTCTGGACACTCTGGCTACTGGCACACTGGAGCCACCTACTCTAGGAACTACCTACCCCCAGGAACTGTTAAGACGCTATGGTTCCCATTTCTTTGCATCAAATCTTACTCTATCCTTAATTTGTTCACCCAGATCCCTCTTCACTTATCAGTTTGCTCTTTCTTTCCTGTCGTACATATTTTTATAACCTGTCCCAAATTCTTTGAGAAAGGAGGAAATTAATAAAAGATGTTGTACAGTCTTGGTCCCTCATCCTTTGTCTCATGCCACTTTCTTCCAAACAAGGCAGATAGATGAAGTTATAAATCTAGAGGGACTATCAAGAAAGCTTCAGGAAAGAATCCCTAGGGCCATTAAATCACACAGTATTACATTACCATTTGGATCTGTATCTTTAAAAATAAGACAATATAACTCATAAAAATGTATACTTATTTTTAAAATGACTATTTTGTATATATTTGGGATATACAGAGCTTACATGAATCAAATGGTTTAAGAATATTTGTTTTTACTGACTATTATTCTACTTCATTTTAGTAATAATTAGATCAAAGATGAGATCTGGAAGCATTTGATACCCAAATGCATATGATAGAATTAAGATAGCAATACATTAAAAATTCAGGTACAGTCCTAGCTGGTTTGGCTCAGTGGTTGGAGCATTGTCCCAAGGACTAAAGGATCCCGGGTTTGATCCCGGGTTCAATTTCAGTCAAAGGCACATACATCAGTTGCAGGCTCAATCACTGGCCCTGGTCAGGGCACGTGCAGGAGGCAACCAATCTATGTGTCTCTTTCTCTCTGTCTCTCCCCATCCCTTCTGCTGTTTACAAAAATCAATGGAAAAAATATCCTCATGTGAGGATTAACAACAACAACAAAAAAATCAGGTAGGAGCAAATCCCCTCATATAAACTGTAACAAAGTTCTAAGTCTCATTGTTATAATTTCAAGTTCACATTTGTTTTCAACATCTCATTAAGAAACTGCATTCCAAGAAAACCTCCTTAAGCACACACCAATAACCATGGTTATTCATTTTAAAACACTGGAAATACTTACTGTGTAAGATTCAACTAATACTGTGGTTTCTAAGGCCAGTTTCTGCTCTTGCTCAATATTATACCCCACATAACACAATTTTTCTTTAATCATTCGAACTGTTTCAAAATCAGCAGAATGGTTGAAGGCGTATCCTCGCAACAGAAGCAGCTGACACACACAAAAAAAATGGCAGTAAATTCACAATTAATCTGAATGAGTTCAACTCTGTAAAAGCTGGTATTGCTCACTAAGTATGTCACATCAATAACAAATGCAATAGGCAGTGGATCCTAAGCTCTTACTGAATATTTCAGAAACAGGGACATTACTTTACCATAGAAGAATTTATTTCACTTTTGCAGAGAAGCTTCAGAGTAACAGAATCAAAAGTTCATGAATAACAGGTAAAACGAGCTAGTTAAACAAGCTAGTTTTAAGAAAGAGTACTGTTTGAGTACAGTGGGGCCTTGACTTACGAGTTTAATTCGTTCAGTGACGGAGCTCGTAACTCAAATTACTCGTATGTCAAATCAATTGTGAACGAGTGAGACACGTGATGAAGGGCTGATGTTGTGGCGTTCACTGTGATGTTCGCTGCGCCAACTAGCGGTGGGGTATCTGAAGCTAGCTCGTAACCCGAATTTTAGCTCGAAACTCAAAGCAAAAAATCGGCCTAGAGACGGCTCGTATCTCAAAAAACTCGTTAGTCGGGACACTCGTAAGTCAAGGCCCCACTGTAGTAATGTTTAGTTTTGGTAAACATTAAGTCTATTAGTAAATAAATATTATTTTAGTCACAAATTCCTATTGTCTGCAATTTACTCAATACCATATTCATGATATCTCTGGGTCTTAGAAAATTTTATCTCTAGCTTCTAATATAATGTCTGACACAACAGATGGACAATAGCATGTTAAACAAATGGGGGGGGAGAAAAGAACTCAACCTGCTAATAGGAAAAAAAAAAAACATAATATGCATATAAACACAACTGGACTTTTCATAAAAACCTCTAAAAAACAAATCCCCTAATCTTTGTGTAACACCCTTGGAAATTCCTTTGGTGGTTACCCTAACACAGAACTTTGGCCTAGAATGAGTGTATTATAACTCTCATTAACCTAACCTCATTATTATTCTAATTTGAGACTAAAGAAACCCAATGTCAAGATGAAGACTCAATGCAACCCAATTTATTACACAGACATCACCATACACATTTTGGACATTATAGTGTTTTCTTGTGGGGACTGTTCATTATAGGATGCCCTGTTCATTACAGGATGTTTAATAGCACTCCTGCAGTTGTAACATCCAAAACATGTCTCCAGGCATCACAAAATGCCTCTGTAGGACAGCACCGTCCCTGGTTGAGAGCCACTGACCCAGAGGAGATACACTAACTACAGAATTCTGGTACAGACAATACTCTAACCATTTTTTTAAAAAAACATTAAAAAAGTACTCATGCCTCCAAAGAGTGACCTCATATACTTTCTCCAGCAATATTTTAAAGAAAATTATAACTAATTAGAGTGAGAAGTAAACTTTAAAATAGCAAACACTGAAAACTAGATATATTCCATGAAAATTACTAAATATTAAAGTCAGGCACATCTGGGCCCTATTTTTAATCAAATATTACTTTGCTATCGATGTGTTTTATGGGGAAGGACAAGAACAGTCAACCCAAGCAAGATTATAACTTTGATATATATCTGTTCAAAGTAAGGTTTTATGGCAGAAAAGGCTGCCTAAGTTGTTCAAGGCAGTTTTATGGTATCTTCCATCTTTTAAATACCTCTCTATCCCTTCCTCAGGAATAGCAAACATAATTATATAATGAAATAACATATTCTCATTAGTATACCAGAGATCTCGTCTATAAATCTCATGGATTTTTATATGGATAATGGAGCAACTGGGCCATTTTACTAATGATGCAGAAGATTTGCTAGAATCCTGAGATGATACATTCAATTTTGTGTTAAGTCAAACTACAAATCTAATTTCTAGGACATCGTCTTTTGCTTACCTTGATAAGATATCTGGTAATATCCCTCCCAGCAATATCCAGTCTTCTGGTAAGGTGAGGGAGAGAAAAGCCTTCATAAACTGGGCAAATGTGAGTTACACCATCTCCAGAGTCCACCACTACTCCAGTCAATAAGCCTGTGTAAGAAACATGAGGTTTTAAGTACAGTAAAGCCAAATCAGGAAAATCAAAGCCAGAAAATTTCAACTATTAGTATAGAAGCCAAACTAGAAACTTCACCAATTGTAATGGTCTAGAAACCAGCATTTCTTTATTATTTATTTTAAAGTGTGTTCCTAATACAGACACTAAAGTTGGTATTCTCTCACATACCGCTTCTGAGAATTTTAGTCTAATCATGTATTACCCCAAGAAATGGGGGGGAAACCGATCCTGAGACGTAGGACTGAAAAACACATGTTCTTAATGCTCAGTGCAATTCTTTATTTTTCTTTCCAACTTAATCTTCATCTCTGAATCCCCCTCAAGTAAAATTTTCTAAAATATATTGAATAACTTTTGTGAAAAGCGATGTGAAAGGTAAATACTACACAAGTGGATCGTGAACCCGTTGAAACAATCTAGTCTGTATTATTATTTTTTCCATATAGTATATTCAAACTGTGCTGTTTCGGGAAAATTCCTGCTGATATTAGCTAGAAATCTGAGAACAAGTGACCTTGGTTAGTCAAAGGTAACCTCAATTATTCACCAGAAACCAGAAAGACAATGTCAATTAAACCTTATAATAAAAGAACAGCAAAGAAGCTGCCTTGTTTCTCATTTGTGCTATTTAAAAATATAAATGGCTGCAAAAGTTAGTGTTTTGCCTTTTGCACCAGCATTAATTTGGGGGGAACCCCCCAAAAAAACCCCAAACCATTTTCTAATTATTTAAAAAAATATTTTTTAACCAGAATGTGCATTATCTGTAACGTGCTTAAGCATTCCTTTATCATTTTCCCATTCCCGAACAGGCTCTCGGCTCTCTCCTTTTCTTATCAATTTAAACTTGCGTGCACTATAGTATCTAATTGTAATGATTTGTCTTTGAATACATTTATTCAAACCACCTCCTTTTGAAGCTAACATAATAATTTGTTTTTCCTTGATATTCTAAGCTTTATGACAATCATATACAGCCTTTTAACGTTGCATTCTCTTAAGAAACTTTCCATTTCAAAAAATAGAAAGGCATCCACAACATCAATAATTCAAAAATACTCCCAGTAACATTAATTACAGCAGGTATTTACATTTATTTTCCAAATAGGCCTTCCCATACCACCTCACCTTCTTTCCTACCACTCGCACCAGCTTGCATACTGGTCTTTCTTTCCCTTACACATTTGACCCATTTTCAGTGACCCTTTTGTCATTGGATTATGTATTTTTTCCACCTACCTTTTCGTTTATACCTTCCCTGACCACTCTAATCTCCAGCCCAAATTCTCTAATTCCACTTATTCCCTTCACTCCTGTCTGTACATGAGGTCAAACATACCTCCCTAAATCACCATGTCACCACCTCTCTTATTCAAAAAACCTTCCATGATGGGCCCTGGCCGGGCAGCTAAGTTGGTTAGAGAATCGCCCCGATACACCAAGGTTGCAGGTTTGATTCCTGGTCAGGGCACATATAAGAATCAACCAATGAATGCATAAATAAGTGGAACAACAAATCAATGTTTCTGTCTCTCTCTCTCTCAAATATCAATTTAAAATAAACACCTTCATTCATGGTTCTGAATGCTTCTCCCTACCTTTTTTTTAAACTAGTAGCACTAAACAAGTTCTTTAGAAGGAGAATTTTACTATGGCTTGAGTTCTTTTGATTATCATTGCTAGATTATCATTTTTCAAATTAAATATTCAACAGTTAAACAAAAATAGTTAAATATCAGGAATTAAGAGAGGATAACTTCTCATTGGATGAAAATAAATTTATGAATATTGCTAGAAAAATCTGTCAAGGTCAATTTTATTCAAATACAAGTCAAACAAAAATTCCATTTCAGCAGAACTAGAACTATAATCACCAGTTTCAAAGCTTAGATTAAAAACAAAATATATCTATTTTTTTCCAAATTATTTTCTAAAATAAATTCTGAAATTTATTTTATTTTAATGAAACAAAATTACCTACATGCAGATAATCACTCCTTGTAAAGTAACAAATTAATTTAAAAAATTGATTTCAGAGAGGAAGGGAGAGGGAGAAAGAGAGAAATATCAAGGATGAGAGAGAATCATTGATCTGCTGCCTTCTGCACCCCCCTACTGGAAATTGAGCCCCCAACCCGGGCATGTGCCCTGACCGGGAATCGAACTGTGACCTCCTGGTTCATAGGTCAATACTCAACCACAGAGTCACACCAGCCAGGCAGAAAGTGAATTTTGATTCCTTCTTCAAAGGAGAAACTACTCAGAGCTGGACTGTAATTGCTTTAAAGGCAAGGAGACCAGTCTAGTTTACTCACTGCCTTATCCTCTACAGAACAGAGTGTTAAAGTACATGCCACACTTAGTTCCTCTAAGTATTTTCTAAGTATCTATATGTAGTAATAAAGACAGCTTTAAAAAACCCAGTATGTGTTTTTTACATGGTGATTTTTACTAATCCACATGTAGAGTCAGATGGCTCACCTTAATATTAAAGTGTGTTTTCTAAGTACTAGATCAGTGATGGCGAACCTATGACACGCGTGTCAGAGGTGACACACGAACTTTGTTAAATGGCATTTAAATATCCTATATAATAAAAGAGAAACATGCAAATTAACCATCCCTCCACTGCGCTCAAGCCACGCCCACAAGCCATACCCACCAGCCCATCAGGAGAGAGTATGCAAATTAAAATTAACCCAACTAAGATGGCGGTGGCCATGGAGCTGGAGCGAGCAGGAGGCTTGGGTTGCCCCTGGCGATGGAGGAAGCCAAGCTTCCCGCCTGCCCTGGCCGGCCCTGGGCTCCACTCAAGGCTACAAAGTTTCAATTATAGAAGATAAATAAATCCCAGAACAAAAAAAGAAAAAAAGGAGAGGCTGGGAGCTTGGGTTGCCAGGGGGCGTGGCCAGCCTGAAAACGGCCCTCAGCCCCTCACCCAGGATGGCCACACCCCCATGGGATAAGGGTCCCCACTGGGGGGCTTGGCCAGCCTGCAAACAGCCATCAGCCCCTCACCCAGGCTGGCCAGGCACCCCAACGGGACCCCTACCCTGATCCGGGACACCCTTCAGGACAAACCAGCCGGCCCCCACCCGTGCACCAGGCCTCTATCCTATATAATAAAAGGGTAATATGCAAATTGACCCTAACAGCAGAACGACTGGGAATGACTGGTCACTATGACACACACTGACAACCAGGGGGCAGACGCTCAATACAGGAGCTGCCCCCTGGCGGTCAGTGCGCTCCCACAGGGGGAGCTCTGCTCAGCCACAAGCCAGGCTGATGGCTGCCAGCACAGCGGTGGAAAGTACTCCCAAATGTCTACCTTCTTCTTTGTATTTATTATGTATCTGACAAGCATGCTTTTGTACTAATCTTTATTTATTTATTTACTTTAATATATTTTTATTTATTTCAGAGAAGAAGGGAGAGGGATAGAAAGATAGAAACATCAATGATGAGAGAGAATCATTGATAGGTTACCTCCTGCACGCCTCACACTGGGGATCGAGCCTGCAACCTGGGCATGTGCCCTGACTGGGAATCAAACCCATGACCTCCTGGTTCATAGGTTGACGCTCAACCACTGAGCCATGCCAGCTGGGCTATACTAATGTTTTTAGATCTGCTTTTTTTTTTTTTTTTAATCTACCAATTCTGAAGCCAAATTCCATATTCATTCTCCACTGCATAAAAAATTTTTACTTCAAAATAACCTAAAAAGGGAACATAGTACTTTTTTAAAAATTGAGAAATCTTTTTTTACTTAGGAAAATAAAATGTATTTTATTTGACAATTTTTAAAAACTGAAAATATTTAAAATAACTAAATAAATATGTAAATGCTGTGCTTTTCTGGGATTTACAACTTATTGAAAAATCAAATTCCTTTGACATAAAACATAATAAATATCTGCTGAATCGATTATTCTAAAAGTTAAGCTTTACCTACCTTGAGCATACAAAGTCAGAACAGCTTGGATGGCTACATACACACCAGAAAACTGGTAAGTTTCAAACATTACCTGAAAATGCAAAGGAAAGAGAAAAAAACAATTGTATTTAGAAGTTACATATTCTAACTATGTTTTTGGCCAAAATAGAACCGAGAAACTTAAAAGAGTCCTCCATTTACTTTAGCGCTCTTCGCCTCGATTAGGGAGGGACTTGTTGGAGGCAGCTGACCAATGATTTATTTTTTATCAATCATTGATGTTTCTATGCCTCTCCCTCTCCCTCTGTGAAATCAATCAAAATATATTTTTTAGCCCTAACCAGTTTGGCTCAGTGGATTGAGCATCGGCCTGCGGACTGAAGGGTCCCAGTCTCGATTTCGGTCAAGGGCATGTACCTTGGTTGCGGGCACATCCCCAGTAGGGGGTGTGCAAGAGGCAGCTGATCGATGTTTCTCTCTCATCGATGTTTCTGACTCTCTATCCCTCTCCCTTCCTCTCTGTAAAAAAAAAAAAAAAAAAAAAAAAAAAATATATATATATATATATATATATATATATATATATATAGATATAGATATATAGATATAGATATATCTATATCTATATCTACTTTTTTTTTTTAAATATCAGGACAGGAAGGCAAAAAATAATGCAGCAATTCCTGAATGTTGGCAGATACAGAACTGCCTAGCTACTGCTGAGCCCACACTCCCTACCTGAGCCAAGGCTGTAGCTCCACTCAGTTGAATACACTGGAGGGAGAAGGAGTTTCCTAGTGTCCTCTCTAGTCGAAACCATGCTCATTCCCTGAAGTCCAGGTTGGCTGGGAACAATGTTGGCAGGACTTTTTTCGGTCTTCTATACTGAGCATTCCTTAACTCAGTGGTTCTCAACCTTCCTAATGCCGTGACCCTTTAATACAGTTCCTCATGTTGTGGTGACCCCCAACCATAAAATTATTTTTGTTGCTACTTCATAACTAATTTTGCTACTGTTATGAATCGTAATGTAAATATCTGATATGCAGGATATATTTTCATTGTTACAAATTGAACATAATTAAAGCATAGTGATTAATCACAAAAACAATATGTAATTATGTGTTTTCCGATGGTATTAGGCGACCCCTGTGAAAGGGTCTTTCGACCCCCAAAGGGGTCGCGACCCACAGGTTGAGAACTGCTGCCTTAACTAGTAGGGGCTGACTACCACTCTGAATATCTAGATATTTAGAAATTTTACAACTGACCACATTCACTATATAAATTTAAATTTTACAACTCTGAAACGCAACCTTATCAGTTAGCAATTAGATATTCTAACTCAGGGGTCCTCAAACTACGGCCCGCGAGCCACATGCAAATACAAATATTGTATTTGTTCCCATTTTGTTTTTTTACTTCAAAATAAGATATGTGCAGTGTGCATAGGAATTTGTTCATAGTTTTTTTTTAAACTATAGTCCGGCCCTCCAGTGGTCTGAGGGATGGTGAACTGGCCCCCTGTTTAAAAAGTTTGAGGACCCCTGTTCTAACTAGTACTCTATTCCATCATCCTTTAATCCCCCTCCACAGGGATGAAAATGGAAGAGGGCTTGCATTTATCAACCTGAAAGTCTGTTAGAACTTGTTTTTATTTATAAAGCCATTAAAAAGCACTTGTACTAAAACCAACATTCTGGATGAGATTAAAGTAGAGCATTATTACTCATAGCCAAATTTGCACTCTCAAGTAAAAATAAAAAGATAAAAAGTAAGGTGAGACCTTAGAGCACTGTGAAACCAACTCATGGCATTTTTGCACACATATCCTATATAAAAAAACACTTATATGCAAATCGACTGAACGGCAGAATGACCAGTGGCTATGACACACACTGACCACCAGGGGGCAGACGCTCGACGCAGGAGCTGCCCCCGATGGTCAGTGGGCTCCCACAGGGGAAGCGCCACTCAGCCAGAAGCTGGGCTGCCTCTCCCGCCTCCGGGGCAGGTGGACATCTCCTGAGGAGTCCTGGACTGCAAGGGGGCGCAGGCCAGGCTGAGGCCCCCCACCCCGCTCCCTCCACAGTGCACGAATGTCGTGCGCCAGGCCTCTAGTGTGTGTGTGTGTGTGTGTGTGTGTGTGTGTATTCTTAATCAAATAGTAAAAGGGATCCAGGTATAATGTCATCTCCCTAACTTTTTCTCTGAAAGAAAATTTGTTTTTCATTCAGACATCATGTTGCTTTCCTAAATAGGTTTCTGTGTGTAGAAATCTTTTAATGCAAAAATATTTCTACAATCTGATTTTGTAATGTGTTGCTAAAAATAAATAGCAATTACAAATGACCACTTATCCATCACAAAAATATTAGTGGTTGTAAATCATTCAGAAAGTATAAAATAAAATTAAAATATGAACTAATACAATAAAACCCATTTTTCACAGTTTTAGGGGAAGCTAAGAGAAAAAAAAAATTAAAGCCTATGAACCATAAGGAATGATATGGGTTCTGTACCTAAAACCACGATCTCACATTTTTAAAACACTTACTACAAAAACTGAGTTTTAATCTAGACTTAAAAAATATTGTGTAAAAGCAATCTCTTCCAAAACCCTTCCCAATTTTCCATCAACATCTAAACACAGACAGAATACAAAATATTTACATTAAGTAGTAACTGAAATACTACTAAAATACTAAGTTATTAAAAGTTTCTACCTCATATATAAAAAAATGAAAGACAACCTTGAGAAGATACTTATCTAAACTAAGAATGTAGAATTCTTACTCTCTGTAACTGCTTAGCTCAGTAACCTTTTCAATCTCATTTCAATTGTTCCTCCTGTCTCCCAGGTCCTAAGCCTGTGGACTACTGTCTACTCTCACTTCGTTGGTGAGCCATATTATGACCTGATGACTCCGAAGTTTAAACCCTCAACCTCACACTTTCTCTTGACCTGATCTTATTTTATAGAACAATCTATTTGACATTTTTGCTTAGATGTCTAATGAGGACCTAATATGTCCAAAATGAAACTCCTGATCCATCTCTGCCCCCACCCCCAATCCTAACCCATCCTTCCAGTTGTTCAAGTCAAAACCTTGGCACCATACCCTCTCTTACCCATATGTAATGCATCAGAAAATTCTGGGCCCAACCTTCAAAATAGATTCACAATCTGGCCACTTCTAATTACTTCACTGCTATTACCCCAATCCTAATAATGATTATCTTTTGCAAAGATAGTTGAAAAAGTCTCCAAACAGGACTCTCTTCCACCCTTGCCTCCTTATAATCTACTCAACACAGCAGCCACGAAAACCTAAATCTGAACACGTCCCTTCCCTGTAATAGCCCTTCATTTTACTTGAAGTAAAAGTCTAATTTCCTTTGAGAGCCTACAAGGTTGCCCTAAGTGGTCTGGCTGAGTAGACAGAGTGTTGGCCTGTGGACTGAAGGGTCCCGGGTTCGATTCCAGTCATGGGTGCCCAGGTTGCGGGCTCCATCTCCAGTAGGGGGGCATGCAGAAGGCAGCTGATCAGTGATTCTTTCTCATCATTGATGTTTCTAGCTCTCTCTCTCTCTCTCTCCCTCTCCCTTCCTCTCTGAAATCAATAAAATGTATTAAAAAAAAGAAAGAAAGAAAGAAAAAGAGCCTTCAAGGTCTTAGATAATCTGGCCCCTTTACTTCTTTGACCTACTCTCCTGTTGCTCTTGCACACTGGCTTCTTAGTTGACCTTTTAATATGCTAGGCTTACACTCACTCTAAGACCTTTACTCTGACTCCTCCCTTTGACTGAAATGCTCTTCCCCATATATCCTGGCCAACTCTCTTAATTTGTCTTTGTTTAAACATCACCTTCTCACACAGGGCCACTACCACATCCTATGTACAAATGCAACCTCCCCCCACTCCCCATCTCCCTTAATCTGCTCTTTTTCCCCTTTAGCATCTATTATCTTCTAACAAACCATTCAATTAAGTCACTTTTGTGTGTGTGTGTGTGTGTGTGTGTGTGTGTGTGTGTGTTTTGCCCTTCTAGAATGGAAGCTCCATGGTGGCAAAATTTTGTTTCATTTACCAACATAGCCTACTTAGAAATAATGACTAGCATATAGTTAGGTGCTCAGTAAACAGGATATGGGGGAAAACAACAATTATTTTTATTCCCTTTATCTTTAACAACAACGGTAGGATAAAAGAAAGAACATTTTTAGAAAGAAAAAACAAACAAACACAGAAATATATACATTATACATTCTATCTAAAAACTTACCTCTACAATCTTCTCTCTGTTTTTGGTTGGGTTCATAGGAGGTTCTGTGAGTAAGATTTTACAATTTCTGGTATCTATGTTAAGTTTCTCTGGTCCAAATGTATAGTCCCACAGGTGTTTCATGTCATCCCAATTTCGAACTATGCCATTTTCCATAGGGTAGTTAACTTCTAACATAGAGCGTAATTCACTTGCCTCATCACCAACCATAAGATCCTAAAAATTATAATTCAAAGCTTAAGACCAATCAAATTTTGCATAAAATACCTTCAGAAAATTATATTCTCATATTTTGGTTGAATTTTGGAATAATTTTAATCTTTCTGGCACATTCAGATTAAGTATTTCATTCCACAAGTTAAAAATCTTTTATTTCAAGAACAATGCCTTACCAACTTTAATACGTTTTTATATACAATGTGGTTTAAATCAATAAAATGACCTTACCTTTAATACATATGTTTCCAAAAGAAGGGCATTAGCACAAATAAACCCCATATTTTCATATTTTGGAGGGTTTTGTATGAGGTTTCATCTGTTTCTTTTGCTCAAATATTCAAAAAATAAGGCCTGTGATATGTGAAATAGCACATCAGGGGGGAAAAACTGGCAGAAAAAATGCTCAATGCATGCAGCACATTTCTTTGTACTAAATATCAAAATGACAAGTATTATAAAGCATAATGAAAGAAGCAAAAAAAAATGATTCTTTTTACACTACAATAAAGCATATATGCACCATATAACTTGTAAATTTTACAAACTTCTACCTACATGTCCGAATTAGAATTAAGTTTCTATACAGGCCTCATCAAGAGAAATTAAAATTTGTAGATATACAAAAAAAATAAGACACAGGGGAACAGTTCTTTAAAATTATCTCATGGGCAACGTTTTTTATCTTTAAGTGTAAGGCTAGAAAATTATGACACATGAAGCAGAATACTCACAAGTCTTGTCTCCAATGAGAGCATATTTAAGATGACCCACATTTGAAAAGCCAAATTTTGTATGTATAAGAAAGTTAATGATGTCCTAGAACTTAAACTTATTTTAGAAATCAGCTAATCAAGATATTAAATAATCCTAATTTCTACATGTACTGACGAATTTTTTAAAAACTAGCATCAGACATAGCAACTATATGCTATAATACCTTAAGTTTAAAACATGGAGAAAATAAAAGAAACAGCAAAATTAAAGTCTTAAAACAGAGGTTTAAATATACAGGGTGTCCCCCAAAAATGTATACATACTTTAATAGCTGATAGCTCAATTGATGTTTTTTTCTTTTAAGAATAATAAACACTGCCTTTATGATTATTCAAAGTATGTATACATTTTTGGAAGACAACTTGTGTATATGAGTTTAAAACGTTTAAAAGTAATTTTTTTAAGGATCAGAGGTAAAACCATGATTTTGCAGAGACCTTTCAAAAGGTTTCTGCAAAATCCACTGAAGCAACAACAAAAAGGGAGGGGAGAGTTAAAGCAGGTCCTAGAAATGTTCTCTAAAACGTATGTATTGCAACTAGTATTTTATAAAGTTAATTTAACACAACTTAATATTCAATATTAACTATTTAGCATCATCTGATAGGAAAATGCAACACTAAAACCCTATATTTGTGAACTCTACTTAATTACATGGGTATGTTGAATTATTTAGGGTGAAGTATACCGATACTTTGAAATACATCAAAAAGCAAGACAGACTGATGAATGGATAGATGGATAAATATGTGATATTATAGCAAATGTTAATGTCAGGATCTAAGTGATGGGTGTATGGACTTTACTATAAAATGTTTTCAACTTTGCTGTATATTTTAAACACTTCTTAATAAAATGTTAAGGGAGATATTTATACCTGTAAGTGCTTATATTACTTTTGGCCATTAACAAATATAATTTAATACACAATTTTATTACTTACTTTCCTTTAGAATATATCTTTGTGTTGTACAAGGTACTACACTAGATAATTAGATAATTTACATAAATCAATATACATTCACAATACATTTCAACAAATTTTATCAGAATATTAATTTTCATTCCATGCAAGAATAGGAGCTTAAGTATGTCAGACCCAATGCCAACTAAAACAAAAGCCTCGTGTATCTACATCTACGAAATACATACTCTACAAGACTAACTGAAAGAAATGTCTGGCATCAAGTATCTTACCATCCCTCTGAACAAAGACAACATTTAAAATGAAAGAAAACAAGTTTTAACTTATTAGGTTAGTTTAAAATTTGAGTATCTCAAGCTACCTAAATTTATCCAAATCCTAAACATATAATTTTCCTTAGAACATTTCTCCTTCCAAAAACCAAAAATTTTAAGAGTTTTATCAAGCTTGCCCTCATACCTCAGAATCAAGTTATAAGCGATCAGATCAGGCCTCAGATTTTTACCACCCACCTCATTAATGGACCTCAAGCCTAAACCATCACCTATTACCTGAAAGAATGAAAAATTATAGTAACTGTTCAGAGATGCTGTTTAAAAAGCATTTATATATTATGAGAAGCAAGCAATATAGGTTATATTTGCCAAGTCATTTGAACAATGTCACCTCAAATTGAAAAATAGAGCAAAAACACTTTAAAACCACAATTAAGTTCCTATAAGGAATTTCCTTTAAAAATATTTATGAAATTAAGTCTACAGTTCTCTACAAATAGCCTCTCAAATTTTCTTAGGATATTAAGAAAAGGCATGATCTTTTATTTAGGATAAATATAAGAATTTCCACTTTTAAATGTTTTTGCTTAATCAAAAGAAAACTCCACAAAGTTACTGCTACTAGTTAAAATATATATCACTAGAAATGCCTATCATTCATCTTTGTCAAAGCTGCTTACAAATATTAAAAAACAAATTTGAAAACAACCTACTACAGAAGCATTTAGACTACCACTGAAAAAACACAATGAAAGAGTAAATTGTCTGGGATGTACCCAGAAGCTTCTAGTTCAAAAGAAAAAGGTGCCACGTTTACTTAGGGAGAAACCTGTTGTTTATGGAAAAGTCTGATAAGACTCACCGTGTACTTATTTCCCCTCAGATGTTATAAAATCTGCTCGTCAATAAGGATAGTATAGGAATTTCCCTACTCTTTACTATCTATATTTCATTTGCATATTAAGATTTTACTGTTTATTAAAAACACATGATACTGTAGTGGATGCAAATATATATACAAGCTATGTATGATGGGCAATGTTCAATTTGACATTGATCAATATAGTGAATTTATCCAAATGTAACAACTTCACCCCAATCTTTTGGATCACACATATCCTATAAAAAACTACTTGGTTTCTAATATTATGCACACCACATTCCATTTTAATTATAACATTCATCTATAAGAAACACAAGAAAAACAATTCAAAACTATGTTAGTAAATCAGTTCTGGTTTGGTCCATTGTATGCAATCAGGAAAGTACAGGATCAAAGTACTTAAAATTAAAATATGGAACTACCCCCCTCCCCAATACTAAAGGGACACAAAACAATAACTACTGTCCCACCAAGCAAAAGTGGAAAACAAACAGAGAGCATGTGTGTAACCTCACTTACCATCTTTTTGTTATTCTACTTCAACAGGTCAAGAAAGGTGAAGAGAGAGAAGGTAGAAGTAAGAGTCAGAAAAGGCCTAAATAAAATCCTCACTGAAATTTTTAAAACATACAAGCAATAGAGAACATTAGGTTGAGGTCAGATGCAGTACCACTATATTTTACGGAGTTAATAATTAGGGCCAAATTAACAAGGAAAGTTATTACTTCTGAATGAAAATTAACTCATTAAACAATTTAAATTTCCAGGTTTTGTTTTTTTTTTAGTCTACCACCACATTTTAGCTAACAAGACACAAAAAGTCTAAGTCAATGCACTAGACAGAGGAATTCCAAAAAGTTAAGTTTCTTTAAATTCATTACTGAATTTAAGAACTTTAATTAAGGAAAATAAATGATAACAGGGAAGGTGTAGCTGGGTAAGCAGAGGATAAGGTTAGGGTTGTTTTTCCAAGCTCCAGCAGTCAAGTTAAATTTTATAGGTTTCTGTTTTTTACTGGAAGAACAATTTAACTTGAAAGACTTAAAAGACTAATAAGCAGATTGAACAGTACTGAGCCAACAGAACACAGAATGGCAAACCATACAAGCAATGCTATTGGGGAATTCCTTAGTAAAAAACATCTCATTAGTATATTGACTAGTTTCATTTCTATCAGTTGGCCTTAAAAAGCAAGAAAATGGGAGCTAAAATTTGTGCCTATGTTGAAGAATAAAAATGGCTATATGTGATATATCTTAATACCTCAAAAATGGCTATATGTGATATATCTTAATACCTAAAAACTGTTAATATCCATAAAGTACATTAAAAAATTCTTTTTTACAAATTTATCCTTCTGAATAGACTTTCCACTCCATTTAAAAATTTATCCTTCTCACTATTATTAATTAATCCTTCTGAATAGACTTTCCACTCCATTTAAAAATTTATCCTTCTCACTATTATTAATTAAATTTTAAGTCAAAGTCTACTTAAGATCGAATTCAATCAGAACAAAAATTCACAAAAAGAGAATAAGGAATCCCATCTTGAGTGGGACACTCAAGATGACTATCCGTAAAATAATAAGAGGCCAGAAAAATTCACTATTTTAAGTCTTTAAGAAATTAACAAGAACCTAAGTTTCAATTTATATTTTTATTCATTGCTAATTCAACTCTAATCCCAAGAGCAGAGAGCTACCAAGTAGCAAATCTCTACTGCCTATTACCACCTTACTAGAAAGTTCAAACAAATGTCCCAAAGAGGTTCGCCCTAACTCATGTTTCAAGTGACTCATAATCTTAATAGTTCACTGAAGTCTTGCCAAAGACTGTCCAGATAAGACCAACAATGCTAGCTTCTTCACAAATAATTCAGTGAAAGAGCCCCTAAATTCTACTGCATTTTGTATAACCTGACCCCTACGCCACCTGAAGAATTTAAGTCAATTGGTGACAACAGCCCTTTTGGTTGATCTGTTTCTTTTTTCTTCTACAATATCATAACTCCCATTTGATTTCCAATCCCTTTAATATGGGAGAAAAATCCATCATCCTTAATGCTGAGTCTCTAGTGTCAGGTACAGTGAGTAGGGAATGATAACCTTCCCTCTTTTCTCTTTCTGGTAAGGTAATAATGCAAGACCACATAAAGACTTGTACGCTTCCTCCTGCACATCATGGAAACCAGTTATTACATTAGTGAGAAAAGGAAACAATAAGATTTACACCCTGTGTTTTCCTGACTAACTATATAAAAATGTAGGGGGATCAGGCCATGAGAACATGAAAAGGAAAAGTCTAAGGTCCCAAGGAAACGCTAACATACATGAAATATATGGAACTGAAAAACGTAAAAATGCCAGGCTTTCTTTTAATAATTCACATTCATATAAAAATCTTAAATGTTTTACTCCATTCAGATAGTAATGGCATCAAAGCCATACTTAAAGTTAGGTAAAATTAATTTCAGTTTTTATGCCTTTCTTCAGGTATTGATATCAATTAAAAATATAAGAAATTCTGCCCTCCCCCTTTGCTTTTCATGGCATATTTTAAAACTACTTAATTCAAAGAACATCTCATAGGTTTTGAACCTCATTTATCAATAAATAAAATATTACCTTGATTTCAATGTTTCCCACTTTGGTGGTTGATCTGATAATAGGTCTTCCAACCAAAGCTGGGAAGATGTGTTCTGGAAAGTTAGAGCCTGCATATCCACACTTCACAAACTGGAAGAGAGTAAAAGTGGGTTAGTCAAGGTATGTACCATATCCATTTAAAAACAGTATCTGAGCCAGGCTGGTGTGGCTCAGTTGGTTGAGCGTCGTCCCATGCACCAGGAAGTCGCAGATACCTTTTCTGATGAGGGCACATGCTTGGGATGCAGACTCAATTCCCAGTACAGGGGGCTCAGGAGGCAGCCTATCAATGTCTCTCTCTCTCTCTCTCTCTCTCCCTCTACCTTCCTCTCTCTGAAATCAATCAAAACATTAAAAAAATAGATCTCTGAAAAATACCACTTTGCATTTATACGATATTTTAAACTGGATACTTTCAAATTATCTAAACTGGTCGTCCAATCTATCATATCTCGTTTTATTTCCTTTATGGCATTGACTACTACTGGAGTTGATGTTTATTTACCGGAAAACTGATTACTTAGCGCCTAAGTCCCTCACTACAGAGAAAGCCTCAGCAAAGCAGGGAGCTCAGCTGAGCAATTCATGTTGGATCCTGATGCCTCAAAGAGGTCCTGGCACACAGTGGTCACACAAGAAGTATTTGAGCCTTGGCCAGTGTGGCTCAGGTGGTTAGGCATCATCCCATGTACTGAAAGATTGCCGGTTCAATCCCCAATCAGGGCATATGCCAGGATGGCGTGGTGGCAGGATCCCCAGTGGGAGGCATGCAGGAGGCAGCCAATTGATGTTTTGCTCTCACTTCGATCTTTCTCTCTCTCCTTTCCTCTAAAAATTCAATTTAAAAAAAAGTAATATTGAGGGAAATGGACAAATTCAGTCAACAACTATTTTTTTAAAAACTTATTTATTGATTTTATTTATTATTATTATTATATTATTTTTAATATATCTTATTGATTTTTTTTACAGAGAGGAAAGGAGAGGGATAGAGAGTTAGAAACATCGATGAGAGAGAAACATCGATCAGCTGCCTCCTGCACACACCCTACTGGGGATGTGTCTGCAACCAAGGTACATGCCCTTGACCGGAATCGAACCTGGGACCCTTCAGTCCACAGGCCGACACTCTATCCACTGAGCAAAACTGGTTAGGGCATAAAACTTATTTATTGATTTTAGAGATGGAGAGGGAGAGAGAGAAACATTAATTTGTTGTTCCACCCATTTATGCATTCATTGGTTGATTCTTGTATGAGCCCTAACCGGGGAATCTAACCCACAACCTTGGTGTGTCAGGACATTGCTCTAACCACCCAAGCCACCCAGCCAGGGCAACAAGTATTTTTAATAGAGAAATGTTAGAAAATGAACAACAGAGCTAAAGTTTTAATTCTAAAGCATGCTTGCATTCATCTCTGGCAATTCACTTAAGCAACTCATTTTCCAAAATGGGAAAAATTAAATGGAATCTGGACTAGCATCATTAAAATAAACATTTATTAGGCATTTTGGGCTATTAACAGTTGTATATTTAGATAAATGTATTTAGTAATATCAGGTAACAATTTCATATTTAGATAGTGTACTTCTCCAATGAAGGCATATCATTATTGACTTTAATACTTCCATTTTATGCATAAGGAACTGATATACTAGCAGACTTAACAACTACAGTAAAACTGAAAATAGAACCAAGGGTCTTTAAATTCTTATACCAATAATATAGTGGTTAGTCTTATTTTTAAGAGCAGACATTGCAAGAAAAATGCCATTAAAAACTTCAGAGGGGAAGGGAAGGTTAGAAGGGAGGCTGCTGAGAAATGTTTCAGCTTTAGCTGTAACCTTTTGGCAGCACAGAAATAGAAGTTATGCCTCTCAGCCCTCCAGGACTCCATCTTTAGACATACTGTCACCACTGCTTCTTGGTGCTGTGTGGTCCCGACAGAGAGGAGAGCTCTGGAAACCTGGTACCCACTAGTGCAGTGACTCTCTTCCCTTCGGAGCCTACATTTGGGTTCTTTTGTGTAACCTCTCCTGTGTCCTGCCCCTCCCCACTCTAAAATGTGGGCCTCTGGTGTGTGTGGAGGAGCTCTGGGAAAGTGTTCAGGCCAGTTGCAATATATGTTAGGAACAGGCTTTAAAGATGAGTTGAGCTAGAGGTGAGTGGACTTGGGGCTTTGTTTAATCTGCTCTTTGGTGTATGGCAGCACTGCCTTCTGTTCCTGGTGGGGAGCACAGCTCCTTTGTCTTCACTGCCTTCAGAGGGAGAAGATGAGGGACTCCTTGTCCCTGCCAGGGCCATGCTGGGCTCTGCCCCGATCAGAACTAAGTCAAAATCCAGCTCACTTGATGTGAACTGAAATGTTGTGGAAGGGTAGAGAATCTGTTATTGTCCTCGCCATACTGAAATTTCTACATAAATAAAATTTGTCATGATCACCAGCCTAATATAAGCATTAATCATGATTTATATATGTATTCCAAATATAGAAAGTAAATAAAGTTCTTATGTTTACCTCAAAGTATTAAGGAAAATTATAAAATGAATTGACTGAAAAAAGAATCGGTAAGTCTGGGAGAGCCATTTTCAGCATATTAAATGTAAACAAATGATTTAAGTGCGAAATCATAATAGAAGGTGAAGGTGGAAGAGCTTCGGATGGGGCACAAGTCAAGTCCTGGGAAGGCTGATATGCCTCTCCTCTCATGATCAGGCCTCACTTTCAGAATCATGCAACGTGGCAAATCTGTAAACAATCACATCACTCAATGTTTTCTAACTATAACTGTTCAGATGGGTAGTTCATATCTTAAAACTCTTGTTTGAATATATTTCAAGGGACAAAATATTTCCCAAGTGCCTGAGGTAAGAAGACAAAAACTGGGACAACCCCTCCCCACTTGAAACTAGAAAAACAATTGTAAACCTGCTATTCCTGTGCTTTACAAAAAAGGAAAATGTGGCTTTTAATTCAAATTAAAGCTATCACTCACTTGTTAATGAAATTACTCTGCTTAAGTAGTTTATTGCAAGCATTTGCTGCCATAGTAATCTAGTGTTAGCATTCCTACAGGGTATAAGATAATTCGGTCACAACGGCAATAACTGCACTATTTCACATTACTTCAAATAGCTATAATAACACAAATATTATTACAATAACCTACTTCTCAATAAGAGAAACTAACAGACAATCCAGCATTTCTTTTATTGCAAAAAAGTCTGTATTTTAAGAAATCTAAATCTAAACCATGATGTGATGAAATGAAGATATTCTTTCCTAAGCTACTCATTTAGCATCATTTAAACCTTGAAATTCCTCCCCCACTCCAATCATTTTAAGACTTGGAGACTTAGTTCTCTCATTGTGTGTAATAAGTCTGTGTTTAAGAAATAGCTTTTTACCATATATAGTTTCCTTTTCATAGCACTGTGGTTTAAACTGGCTCCCTTACTTCCCACTGAGTCATCAAATGGTAAGAACATGAACACTATAATGTTCTTTCAAGCAAAGATGAAAAAAGAGTTCCTGTATATTTGCTCTAAAAGTATTTTTCCTCTCAAAAAATAAACAGATTTATAAAGCTTCTCTTGGACTTATTTTTTTTTCATATATTTTATTGATTTTTTATAGAGAGGAAGGGAGAGGGATAGAGAGTTAGAAACATCGATGAGAGAGAAACACCGATCAGCTGCCTCCTGCACACCCCCTACTGGGGATGTGCCCGCAACCAAGGTACATGCCCTTGACTGGAATCGAACCTGGGACCCTTCAGTCCACAGGCTGACACTCTATCCATTGAGCCAAACCGGTCAGGGCTTCTCTTGGACTTATTGTATTTTTCTTTATTAATTTTATCTGATAGTACTGGTATATTACTTTAATTTCATAGTGATTATCCTGATCTCAACCAAAATATTCATTCTATTTATTCCAAAGCATTTTACAGGTAAAACCAAATGTGTGTGTTGTGAGGTTTTTTTCCCTTAATCCTCACCTGGGCCAATTTTTTCCATTGATTTTTAGAAAGTGGAAGGAAGCGAAGGAGGGAGGGAAGGAGGAGGGAGGAAGAGAGAAAGAGAGAAAGGGAGACGGACACACACACACACACACAATTGGCTGCCTCCCACACTGACGAGGACCAGGGATGGAAACTGCAACCCAGGTACAGTGCCCTTGACCAGGAATCAAACCCGAGACCCTTCAGTGTGCGGGCAGACACTCTAACTACTAAACCACATCAGCCAGGGAAAATCAAATTTGTTTTTTATTTATTTCTATTCCAAACACTTCTGAATTCAACAAAATAAATTAACATAAGCCAGACAGAGCAGGCCATATGCAAATATAAATGGGAATATAAGTCCTATATAATCCTATATAATAAAAGTCTAATATGCAAATTGTCCCCTCAACCAGAAGTTCTACCGCTCACTATGACATGCACTGACCACCAGGGGGCGGCATGGAACATGGTGGGCGTCCGTAAGGTAATGCGGCGCTGGCAGCAGGCGGCAGTGGAGGTGCTGCCAGCCCTGATTGGCCCTTTGAGGGCAGGACTGTGGCGGAGTGGTAGAGCAGGTGAGCAGGCAGCGCCAGGCCAAGGCAGATGCGAGCGGGCCCAATCGCCCCACCAATTGCCCAGCAGACAGCGACCAGTGTCCATTACAGAGAAAGGGAAAATAGCAATATTAAAATATTTCTTCTAATTATTTTCCTTTCAATGTACATGTGCACGAATAGGTGTACTGGGCCACTAGTGAAAATATAATTATTCTAGCATTATAAGCTACTTTGTATCACTAGACCCTAAAAACTACCAGTCACATAGTAGGCAGGTGTCTTCATTGTGGGTGGTGAACTAACTCACTGCTGATGAAATCACCCACATTTGATAACAGAATACACAACACCAGAGGCCTGGGCAGAACTCTTGAAAGGCATCTAAACCTAAGCAGATACCTATATTTTCACCTATTTGGCCACTCTCAGTGGCTCTATTTTAGGTGGTAGGTTTGAACAATTATGAGAATGAAGCAAATCATTAGAATTGGATGAGTTTTACTCCTCTAGGCTGCCATAATGAGAAACTGGTTGGGGGCTAGTGAGGAAGCAGAACAAGGACCAATAGTCAGCATGTGAGCATAAGAACTCACTTACTCTTAGAGCATTCGACTTAGGGCCTGCCAGAGGAGTTAAAAAAAATCATCAACTTCTCAAATTGCCTATAATTAAAACTTTAAAACCTAAAACGTGTAAGAGGCAAGTTGCTTTAGGGTAAGAACTATTTCCACGAGTTTTTAGAAATTAAATTTGAATATCTTGTTTAATATATCATTGTAAAGAAATTATACCTTCAGCTAACCAAATAAAATCAAGATGACTATAAAAAAGAATATAGAATCTAAGTGTTTCTATTTTTCTAAATTGTTATTTATTATTTTTTTTAAATATATTTTTTATTGATTTCAGAGAGGAAGAGATAGAAACATCAATGATGAGAGAATCATCGATCAGCTGCCTCCTGCACGCCCCCTACTGGGATCGAGCCCACAACCCAGGCATGTGCCCTTGACTGGAATCGAAACTGGGACATATCAGAACTGTCCCTTCATTTGAAGTTGATTATGTCTATAGAAAATCTGAATAAAATTTTAAAATAAGAAATCTAACACCAAATATATTTTTTACTTGAACCAGCTACACTTTTTCCTATGTAGGTAATAGTAACTGATCTTTTCTCTTAAAGAACAAGATCCTTAAATTATTAATTAGAATAAGACTAATCAACAATATACAATCAGCTTCCTAACATAGCTAAACTAATGAAATAGTAACATAAAAATGAGCTCATGGCCCTGGCCGGTGTAGCTCAGTTGGAGTGTTGTCCCATACACCAAAAGGTGCAGGTTCCATTACTGGTCCGGGCACATACCCAGGTTGCAGGTTCAAACCCTGTGGTCCAGATGCATGCTGGAGGCAGCCCATGATATCATCTCTCTCTCTCTCTCTCTCTCTCTCTATCTCTCTCTCTCTCCTTCTCTCTCTCATAAATTAAAAACAAATTTTTCTTTAATGAGCTCACAGTTAACATCCCTATTCTAATTGAGTATCACAAAACACATTACAAATATAGGGTTCATTAGCCTTCAAAAAAGAGGAATCACCCCTCCCCCCACCCCCAAAAAGAGGAATCCAGCCCTAGCTGATTTGGCTCAGTGGACTGAAGGGTCCCAGGTTTGATTCCGGTCAAGGGCCCATACCTCAGTTGCAAGCTCCATCGCCCCAGCCCTGGTCGGGGCGTGCAGGAAGCAATATGTCTCTATAACCAATGTTTCTCTCTCTCTGTCTCTCCCCGCCCCCTCTTCCTTCCACTCTAAAAATTAAAAAAGAAAAAGAGGAATCCATTAAAACATAAATGGCTCAGATTTCTAAAGAGAATTATCTGGCATATTCACAAAACAAAATGCTTTAAATTCAATTTTTAAAGCTTTAAGTTTATATAGAGGTCAACTTGAGACTAATATCTCTTAAAAAGTACCTTTAACTGAGTTTTAACTATAAAACAAATGTTTATAGTTTCTTTTGTTTAAAGATAATTTAACAGTACATCTTGTTAAAAACACAAAGAACATTTTCCCAATAATTAAAAAGAGTCATGAAGTCCTTATCCTTCCCTCACTCCATTATCCCTAGTCTCACAGGTAATCACTATGAACATTTTTTTATGTATCCCTCCAAAACTTTCATATACACACACAAGTCTGTGAACATGTAAGTATTTTTAATAAAGAATACTCACATAACTGGATCATTTTTTAACTTAACAATAAATCTTAGACAATGTTCCATAGCAGTAGATCTGCCTCTTTTTTTTTAAGTATTTCATTTTGTATGATGTCCCATTATATGATAACACCCTTATTACTCAAGACCATTTTTAACTAAGTTCAGATAAAGCTAGTATAATTATTACTTGTAAAAGTTTGTAACAAAGTCCATCAAGGGAAGTATTATGGCAGTGAATATTAGGTCTTTTCCCCTCCTCAACAATCCAATTTGAAAGTTCACGTAAAATCTTTTTTAATTCATATGTCACATTTATGGAAGAAGGGGGAGAAAAGTCACAAAATATGCAACTCTAAAATGGTTAGACATCACTGTAATGTAGGAGAAAATTACCTCTATGGAACTCATCCAAAGTAAGTAGCATTTCTGTCTTCTAATTTGCTGCCTTGGCTGCCCAAAATACATTTTTAAAGCACGGGGGCGGGGGGGGGGGCGCGTTTGAAAGAAACAGCTTTCAAATAATTTCTTAATCAGTGTTTTACTCTGATTTTTACAATTATTTGCGTTTGCGTTTTAGACTCTTAAAGACTAACATTATCTGTAATCTGTATCTAAGGACAAAAACGGGGGGTCCTGGCCCGTGTGGCTCAGTTGGTTGGAGCGTCGTGCACCGAAGGGTCTCTGTTGGATGCCGGTCAGGGCACCTACCCAAGTTTCGGGTTTGATCCCGGGGCGAATGGGAGGCAACCCATGATGTTTTTCTCTCTCTCACATCCATGTTTCTCCCTCTCCCTTCCCCTCTCTCTAAAATCAATAATATAAAATAAAAGCATATCCCCGAGTGAAGATTTAAAAAAATTAAAACCGGGGGGAGGGAGGTGCCAACACGGATGAACTTCCCGCAAGGTCAGCAGAACTAACACTGGGACCCCTTGAGGGTCTGATGTCCCAAGACCATTCAATGGGACATGCAGGTCTCCGCGGAGCCGCCGTGGGCAAAATTCCCGGCATGCAGAACAAAAAGTGAAGTATGCACTCCGATCTGGCCTCTACTTCCCTCAAAAAGAAAAAAAACACTAAACCTCAAAACTGCTAAAGGGCTGAGGCTTGCACTGACAGTACTTCCTTTTTTTTTTTTTCTTTAAACCCGTTTCCTGCCTCCCATTCGGTACCTACACAGGAAAAGGAAGGCCTCTGGGTCTTTCCCCTTTTCACACACCGGCGACCCGGGGTAACGAAGCCCTTCGCGAACACACAAACCTAGTCTTTTACCCTCCGACCCTTTAGCCAAATCGCCGAGCGTGGGGCGTGGAGCCGGCCCCTGCAGGGCAGCAGGCATGGGTCCCCGTGCAGTGCCGGCCTCGCCCGCCGCCCGGACCCGGATGGATGAGGGGGTGGTAAGCTCGGGGAGACCAGGGCCCTCGCTCCCTACCTACATCCACGGAGGCGGAAAGGGCTGCCCCGCGCCCCTTGGCCCGGACGGCCTGAGGGCCCAGGGGTGCAACCCCGCGCGCCCAGGGCCCGGGCGCCCCACCCGGACCCGGGGCCACCGCGGCCTCCCCGTCGGGAGCTTACCCCGGTGCCGTTGTCGCACACCACCACCTTCCTGCCCTGGCTGTCCATCGTCCGCCTGCGAGAGAGCCGCCGCTGCCCCCGACAACCTACAGCCAGCACCTACTGCAGCCGCCGCCCGGAGCTTCCCTCTTCCTCCTCCACCTCTCGGCAGCCCCTCCTAGGCTGTAACTCTCTTCCCTTACCGGAAGTCGCCACTGGCCCGGCCCCGCCCCGCCCCGCCCGTCATTTAACTGACGGCCAGCGCGGAAATTGTGGGGACGGAAAGGAGGCCGTGACTAACAGCGGCCAGGTCCAATAGGAAGCGGAGAAGCTCCGAAGCCCCGCCCTCCGCTGAGGCTCCGGTTCCGCCTTCACGGGCACCGCCCACCCAAGTGACGCTCTGTCTGGTTTCCGGCGCTTCGCCGGCCCAGTACAGTAGACGCCCTGGTGAGCGCTGCCGCCTTCTCTCTAAACAGGCACCATAGGCGTGTAGGGCGCCGCTTACCCTTCCGCGGAAGGCTCAGGCCGGCCACCGGGGCTGTCGCAGGAGCTGGGAATGTGCCGCGGCCAGCGGGAGGGGGAGCAAAGCTGGAGGTCCTTCCCGGGCGCACCATGGAGCAGGGCTTCGTGTGTCCTTGCTTCCGGGACCACTTTCTTCCTGCAGCGCCACCTCTTCAGTGTGTGCACCTATTTGAACCCAGAGCCTCGGCTTTGAAATCAGACAACCCCGGTCAGGAGGCTTTGGCCAGAAATAAAGGACAAAGATTTACTCAAGGGATTTAGGGTGTGCAAACTGAAAACACAGCTAGTTAGTATCCAGAGTGTTCCAAGGGAGAAAGAGAAGCTGCGAGTTCTTCGAGTAAAAAAGAACATGCTAGAGAAGGACCAGTCCTGCATTCTTCGCTGATGGGTTGGTCCAAGATGGTAATCTTCCAAGTGTCTAGTCATGGTCTGGATAATGGAGCGTTTTTTCCTGAGTTGTTCAGATGGTTATCGGTGGAAATAATGTACATCTAGGCATTGACGCTCAGCCGAGAAGTTTAAAAGTTGAAGTCCCCAGGCTAGGTAAGGCAAGAATAGAATAATTTCCTCATTCCTCAGCCTACTTGATTTTAGTAATTTAGCAGCTTGACCGTAGTGACTCCATTTTATTTCTTTATTCCTCATTATTTATTTTTTTTCTTTTGGATTACTAATTTTTACTTTTTAAGACATAACACCTGTTGTTTTCTTCTAATTATAAAAACAATACATGCAAATGGTAGAAAGTATAAACAATGGTCTACTCACTACACTAACGAAAATGCAGCAGAGCCTCTTGATGATGCAAATTCGGATATGATACTATAGCTGACTGTTTCCTGCCTCTATACCAAGTACATTATTGTCATTTTACTTTTCTCTAAATAATGTGGCCCTATATTTTAGGTGGTCATCACATGCTCAGCCCCAGAAAAGCTGAACTAAGTTGATTAGTTGGAGCTTCAGGCATGTTGTTGTTAAAAGCAAGGCAGATAAATAGGTGGTTTCAAAATCTTATAAATAAATACTTCTGTATGTGTTCCTACCAGACTTTAAAAACATAATCCCAACACCATTATTATAGCCAACAAAATTAATAAATTCTTACTTTTTCTAATAGTCAATCCATGTTGTTTTCCTTGTCTCAAAAATATCCTCTTACGGTGTTTTGTGGTTTTTTTTTCAGGATCTAAATAAAGGCTACACATTGCATTTAGTTAATATGTCTCAAGATCATTTTAGTCTATAACACTTCCCTCTGTCTTTTTTTTTTAATTTTTCCCTCTGTCTTTTTTTATACCTTTTTGTTGCTATAGAAACTGTATCATTTATCCTCTAGAATTTCACACATTCTGTACTGGTTGTATCCACACAGTGTAGTTTTTCTTGTTCCTCTAGCCTCCATATTTTTTGTAAGCTTATAGTTAGCTCTGGGTGTCCTGTGTTTAGTGTTGCTAAGATCATTCAGTGGGTTTTGGTGTTATTGGATGATCTATTACAGAGTTCCCCAGGAACTTGTCACTTAATAGTTTAAGCAACCACCAATGATTGTTGCCTGATTGGACCAGGAAACAAGTACAATGTGTTTGGCTCACAATTTGTCATTTCCAAAGCTAATAGGTTTTGACCTAATTAGCCACCACAGTTGCTTTCAAGTAGAAGAATTATAGTTTTGAAACTAGGTTAATTAAATGATTTTTTTAATTAAAAAATAAATCTGATGGGCACTTAAGCGTACATTAGCTATAATTTTAGTTGGAATTATAGTTGTGAAATGCCTCATTCAAAAGGTTAATTTTCCCTCTCCCTTCACTTCACTATATACAAAAATTTAACTCAAAATGAATGGAAGATGTAAATTTAAGAGCAAAACTCTCCCAGCCAGTGTAGCTCAGTGGTTGAGCGTTGACCCATGAACCTAGAGGTCACCAGTTCAATTCCCAGTCAGGGCACATGCTCAGGTTGTAGGCTCCAACCCCAGTGTGGGGCATGTAGGAAGCAGCTAACTGATCAATGAGTATCTCTCATTATTGATGTTTCTATCTCTCTCTCCCTCTCCTCCCTTCCTCTCTAAAATCAATAAAATATATTAATAAATAAATAAGAATTACAATATTACAAGCACCCCAGAAGATGCCCCACACCACTTCTTAATCACTGCCTCACCTCTCCATCACAAAGGAAAACATTACCCAGCTTCTAACAACATAGATTAAATTTGTCAACTTTAGATTTTTTTAAAATATATTTTTATTGATTTCAGAGAGAAAGGGAGAGGGAGATAAAAACATCCATGATGAGAGAGTATCATTAATCAGCTGCCTCCTGCATGCCCTCTCCTGGGGATCGAGCCTGCAACCCGGGCATGTGCCCTTGATGGGAATCGAACCCTGGACCCTCCAGTCAGCAGGCTGAAACTCTATCCACTGAGCAAAACTGGCGAGGGCTCAATTTTTTATTTTATACTAGAAGCCCAGCGCACGAAATCATGCAGCTCCACCCACCTGTGCCTGCCTCACTGCACTTGCAGCCCCGCCACCTGCCGTTTGGTCGTCGTGACATTAGGGCCACTTGCTTTTTATAATACAGATAAATGGAATCATTACATTATATGCTCTTTTGTTTTGTTTCTTTCGTTCCACATTATGTTAGATTCATATTGTTGCCTAAAGCTGTCATTACTCTCAGAATTTGACCATTAAAAGATGAATTTTTGATAAGGGTTCAATACCCCTAAATGGTTTTTAAAAATAACCAAGTAGTTTGAGTTACTCTTTACATAGGAGTTAGGGAGAAGTGTGCCTGACAATAGAATCCAACATCAAAATATGAGTTCCTGACCTCCAAGTGATCTGTCATCATTGAAAGAAAGATCGAAACAGCAAAAGTTTCAATTTAAGAATCATTCGAATGATCTAGATAAAATGCATAAACTTTGATTAAATTCAGAAGTTATATATCTTTAATCTAAATAAGATATTGTCACCTCAACATTGTGATTAAAATCCCACGCTAATAATTTGCTATTGAAAAGAAAAGCAACACAAGGCTTATGCGGGCAGTGATAAATTTACATCTCTATCCCGGCTGGCGTGGCTCAGTGGTTGAGTGTCGACGTATGGACCAGGATGTCATGATTCAATTCCCAGTCAGGGCACATGCCCGGGTTGTGGGCTCAATCCCCAGGAAGGGACGTGCAGGAGGCAGCCAGTCAGTGGTTCTCTCTCATCGCTGATATTTCCATCTCTCTCTCTCCCTTTCCCTTCCTCTCTGAAATCAATAAAAATATATTTTTTAAAAACTTACATCTCTAATGAAAAATTAAAAAGGGATATATGTTCATGGCCAAATCCCCCAACAGCGAAGTGTGAAACAGCAAGGCTGTTTCAGGCCTTGCAGCCTAAGAAACAAGTCTGAAACAAAAATACGTGAATTTATGGAAATATAAAAACCTAGGAAGACTAAGCACAGGCCCTGCTTTGGCCTGGAGGCCTGTGAGTCTGTTTCGCCTTCCGGGATGGCTTCTTATCTGTAGTGTGATCTTTGTGAGTCCAGCTGAGAGCTTCACCTCTAACTCCCAGATCAAGCTGTGAACCCTCTTCAAACGCTGACTCATCTCCTGGCCCTGGCTTTTCAGATAAGGTGCAAACGGCGAGAGCAGTGAGCAGGGAGTTAACTCTCTGTCGCCACTAAAGCAGCATAGCCATCTAGTCCAGTGGTTTCCCATCTTTTCAGTACGAGGATCCCACTGAGTACACTTGGCTGATTAATTTTGGCTGTTGTGCTGAACTGTTGCCAGGCGGAGTATATACTCTGTGTCTGATGTGCTGCAGGAACGTTTGGGGCACACCCTGTAATAATCAGTCTCACTATTATGAAAGAACAGTATCACTGTTCTTCGGCAGAATCTTAAAAATAGCCCTCAGAGGCCCATGACCACCTGCAGATTTGTTACAACCCCTTATTTTTTATTTATTTTTTTCTCGCTTCTCTCTCTGATGACCCCCTATTTTAAAGATGAGCAGACTAGATGCAGAGAAGCTAAATGATAATACACACACACACACACACACACACACACACACACACACTGTATATTGGAATAACGAATCGCATGGACAGCGTACTGAACCATGAATTAGAAGACCTGGGTTCTAGTTTTCACTGCTAGAAGACAGCTTTGTGATCTTAGCCACTTTTTAAGACTTTTCTCACTTCATGTTTGGTGTGTGGTTTTTGTTTGTTTGTTTGTTTTTTACCCCAATAAATGCATTACTCTTTTGATTATAAAAGGTATTATTTTTATTATTATAATTATTATTTTACAAGTCACAGTTATAACATTGAAATTCATGTTCCCTTTGTTTTTTATGGGTGATATTCTAAGTAGGATGAGCATGAAGATGATCACGTAGTCTTACCTCTTGTTTCTTCCTAATTTCTCTTCCCTCGTTTTCTTTTTCCCCCTTAATTACCAGAATAGGATTCACCATGTTCACCCTCATAATCTGCATTCACATTTCTAGAAATGTGATCACTTATATTTGTTCAGGTAAACTTAGCTAATTGACACAGTTGAATTAAATTCCCACTGTAAATTATAAATGTCATGTGTTGGCACCTAAAAGAATGTTGTCATTAATGACAAACTGGTCATCTCCAATGGCAAAGAAACTTAAATATGTTAAAGTG